AGCTTGAGTGGGGCGCAACCCTCACCTGGGCAGGGTCCAAGCCTTCGGACCGCGGACTTAGCGCGGTGATAAATTTTTGTGATGTAATTACCAAAAGTGATGTCGTGGGTTTGAGAGGAATGGACTGCTGACTGGTGTCCTTATTGTATCTTTGTAACTATTCTTGCTGCTTTGCGAAGTGCCGATCTTCTTGCTAGGTACCATGGGTTTCCAAACAGCGCCGAACGACATCCCACTTCAACGATGTCCAGATATCGTCCTGAAGGTTGATACGCCAAAAGGTACGTTTCTCGAGATGATGGCAGATCAGTTGTAGTGGATGACCAACAAAGCATGTAGGGCGTGGTGTTTTTGCTACCAAAGACATACCATCGGGAACCACGATAGACATATGTCCTGTATTGATCCTAGGAATAGAAGAAAACAAGAAGCACATAGAGCAGACCTCGCTTTATCATTACACTTAGTACGTAATTCTTTGTTTTGAGCTGCTGTGTCATCGCGCTACCACCTCCTCTGGACATATAGCATGCGTACGCATGTGCGGGCATCGGCAGTTATAGCAGGTTGATGGCCTTACATTCAGTCAAAGTATCTATTAGAGGTGATTGGAAGTACCCAAAATCTGACTCATGCTAGCAATTGGCCAATCGTAGATACGGACGGTAACAGCAAGGTCACACAAGCCATCATATTCGGATTGGGAAGCATGTTCAATCACTCGACCCAGGAACAAAACGTAGGATGGATGCGGGATACTCGACGTCAAATCATCACGTATCGAGCTTTGAGAGACATTGCCACAGGCGAAGAGCTTTGTAAGAGGAAGAGCCGAAGCTGATAGCCAAAGACGCTGATAATCGTAGGCATATCGTACGGAAGCCACCTAACCTTCAAGGATGCAGATGTTCCACCACCAACGCCACCAGAAGACGAAATTGAACAGCTTCGAATGATTGACCCATATTAAGTAATATTTAGAAGTACAGAAAGTACAAGGGTTCTACACCTGTTTGCCACAAGAGAGAGAATCGCCGGGAAAAGACAGGTCAGAAGAGATGTGGGTGGCCAGTTTGGGAGCGATCGTTTTACGCCGAGATGTACAGCGCCAATATAAGAGAGAGAGGACACATCAGGTGCTAAGGGGCTCGGGCTTTTCGGTCGATGGCGTGACATCTGCGGAGCTGTTGTTGTCTTCGGCGTCGTTTCTCAGGTCGTAGGCGAGCTCGAAGCATTCCTCCAGAAGTTGTGTTACGCGTCCTTGTCCATCGGGTATCTCTTCGCCAACCATGAACTTGCCGTCTACCCGCATGTTGTCAATTGAGTTCAGCTATATATGAGTCAGTAGACGTATCGATGTATTCATGGCGTGGTGCACCAACCTTCATACTGTATGGGTACAGCTCTCTTGGTGAGGATACACCTCCCAGCTTCTTGACTTCGAGTAAGCATTTCCGAAGTGTGGTCAGCTGGTTGTATATTGGCAGTAATGCCTCTGACACAGGCTCTGAAGTTAAGAGCAGCTGGTAGATGAGAGCGTAGCTCTTCCTGAGAAGATAGAGTAGTGTCTACATCGCGTTAGCCCGTGAGCGTATAGACAATCACGTCTGTGAAAACATACCCTTTGCTCGTAGATCTCAGATGGACGTCCAAGTGCATCAACGAAATTACCGTCAACGCGTGCCTCGTCTATGCGGTCAAGCTGGCGCTGGAAGTCCCATAGATCAGTCTCACGAAGGGACCATGCCTGTGTTAGAGTGAGCTTCTCGAGTTTGTTCCGGATAGCAAGAAGTTTGTCGTAGGTGTCTTTGAAAGCGGGCGATATGCGTCCTTGCCTGCTCAGGTGTTAGTACGGATCGTAAGATTAGCGGGATGCACCAACTTTTGCTTGATCAACGTGACCCAGAGCAAATTACGGCGTAGCAGCGTGCCGATGAGAGTCTTGGCGTCTGGTGCGGCCTCGGGATGTTCGGTGGCTAGTTGCATCTTGTCGACCATCTCGGCCAGTTTCTCTTCAGTGGTTCCCTCCGTCTCATACGCGCGAATTCCGTGTTCTTTCAGCTCTTCATCGAGTTTGTTGAGCTCCTCTGAGTACTCCTCAACCTCTTCAAGTGGGAACTACAGTTCCGGTCAGTACACGGTAACAGCCTATTCGGAGTTTGCTAACCTTGGATCTTGCATTGCAGCCGCAAAGGGATCTTAGTATCGAGACAAGCTTCTCCCACTTCGGTGTCAGTTCGGGTGTCAGTCCGGATAGGTTCAGCTTCAGTTCTGCTAGTGTCTCTTCGCAAACTTTGATACGAGCATCGAGGAGAGTCAGCAGATGAGGGCTGTGACCTTCCTGCCCCCTTTCAACATAACGCCGGCAGTCTTGCAGGTTCTTGTCCAGGGCTTCCAGATCCTTTTGCGAGTAGAAGGTGGCTTCTTTGAGATGGTCCAAGAGGCGCTGTGGGATGTCAGACATTGACGTGCACATGACCTCCAACATGTGTAAATACCTTGATTGTCGATATATATGAGTAGCTGAACTACTGTCAGTAACTTCGTATATAACACATGACACCGCCAAATACTAACACTGCTGGTGGTTCGTGGTTCTTTCCGACGGTCAGATACGCAAGTGATATGAGCTGAAAGCAATCATCGAGCATGTAATCGACTATGCGACGATGTCAGCATCAACAGGCCACATTGGGCAGGTGGCAACGTGACATACCTTTGTTCTGCTCCAGGCGCTTGGTTTCCCGTATCTCGTTGAGAATTATGACCTGCTCGATAACTTGGTCGTACAGCTTCAAGACATCTTGGCTCTTGACATAGGTGGACCGATCACGCTTCAGTAGTTCCAGCTCTGTCCGTATGGACTGCAGCTTGTCGAGGATGGGCTGCTCCTTCGGATCCAGCGGAATCCGTGGGAGTGGGGAGTCGGTCATTGTGTGCTGCAGACGCTGATCGGCGCTGGTTGGGGAATCTTTCGGTGGGGTTGAGGCTAATCCGAACGTTGGTGAAAGCTGGAACTCTGCAATATGCGAACTTGGAAGTAGCCGGTCGGGAAGCCAAGATGCAGCTTGATAGCGGGGAAAGTGCCCGGACGTCACCGAGGGGCAAGTTGCCCTCACCCAACGCGCTAACGCCGGATGCAGCTAGACGTCGCTAAGCGAAAGCCACGATTAGCGCCGTCCACACCATCAATTCAATTCACCAGCGCCGACACTCTCAACATCTCGACTCACGACAGTATCACGATCACATCCGTCGCAATGTCTACCTCCGAGCTCGCCACCTCTTACGCCGCTCTCATCCTCGCTGATGACGGTGTCGACATCACTGTACGACTCCCGAGGTGCAATTCGCAATCGCGGACACAATGGCTAATTTGAACAGGCCGACAAGCTCCAATCTATCATCAAGGCCGCAAAGATCGAGGAGGTCGAGCCCATCTGGACAACTCTGTTCGCCAAGGTGCGCATACACGGACACGCTGGAGCAGAACACGGAATTGATATGTGAATAGGCTCTTGAGGGCAAGGATGTCAAGGACCTGCTCCTGAACGTCGGTTCAGGCGGCGGTGCTGCCCCCGCTGCTGGAGGCGCTGCCCCTGCCGCTGGCGACGCTGCCGGTGCCGAGCCAGCTGCCGAGGAGAAGAAGGAGGAGGGTACGTCTACCAAATATCCCTCGCTGAGCACAGAACGGAGACTAACACACAACAGAGAAGGAGGAGTCAGACGACGACATGGGCTTCGGTCTCTTCGACTAAGCGTCTCGTTTCCCTTCCTTTCTTCGACATTTGCCTTTATCGGGGTTGCAAAACGGATTCATCAGCGGGCATATTCCCATTGCTGGGGTGGGACAGTCACGACTATTCGGTGACACGACTTGCATACGGGCCCTCCCGGAAGAACAACGACGGCGTCATGAGATATGTTAGGTCGGCAGGTCAATGAATACTTCGAAAAGTGCAACAAACGGGTACACGTCGTGATGTTTCGGAGCGGTAGTTCGGTCGCCATACCAGCCTTGTGATGTTCGGTTTGTGGCTATGAAGGGAGCTTGATATAAGTGATACATTGACGTGACTAGGATTCCTAATCATGCACTAGTATCCCTTAGTCGGATAACCTGACTTCGTATTCGCGCATTCATATCATCGCTTACATGGGCACTCCTCTCAACATATCATTGCCCAAAGTCAGTACCTTAGCCTACCTTTACTATGAGGGACAGGCATGAATCCTTATGCTTGTGAAGTCCTTCGCAAGTACAGCTCACATTACATGTCTTCATGCCAGATCCTTCAGTCCTCCAACTCCGAGTTGTACTTTCCATGGCTAAGCGGATCTGCATCAGACACCTATACAGGCGTAGCTTTTGCCAATTACCTCATTCTCTTTCGCTTAGCCGCCATCTTTCCTTTGAGACTACCTCTCAAGGTCAGTCCTGCCAACATCTAAGACTTCCATAGCATGTATTTTGTGCTTCTCACTACTATCCACATTGGTCCTCTAGAACATTAACTGTTCAGAAGACTTTGGACAAATCCTCGCTATACTTGGCGCAGGGGCCTGTCACGCGCGCCAGTCTGATTGTACAGAACATACCCACCAAGATTTGTCGCATGTCTTTGTCCTCATGAGAAGAGCCACTACAATGCTTCATGCATAGTGAAAACTCGCTATATGGACAATGGAAGTAGCTGACGACTTCTGTCAGATCCGCTCATTTACAGGGTAGTAGAGTAATGTGATTGCGTCGTACTGCATAGAAACGATGTACCAACAAATCACGCAAATCACAGTGACAGTGAATCTCAAAGTGGAAAGAGGCAAGCTCGAAAGCCTAGACCAAGACCAATTTACCACCACGTGCAGTAAGCCAGCTTCCCCGACTGCTCCTTCCATTGCAACTACATCCCCGACAACTAGTCTAGAACTACACGAATGCAGGCCTAGAGATCAAACAGAGCTCCAGGTCTACGATGTCGACGGAAAAGATCGCAAGAATGAAGCGCCCCAGGTATTCAAACAGTAATTGTCAAAAGTCTACGGGCTAATTGTCTCCTAGTGAGGCTGCCCAAGAGCCCGTCTTCGTCATCGTCGAAGTAGGCGACGCCAAAACCAGGTATCACGTCCATCGCTCCCTGCTCGTTGAGCACTCCGGGTACTTCAAGAAGGCCCTGAATGGTCCCTGGAAAGAGGCACAAGACGGTGTCGTTATACTGGAAGACGTTGAGTGCAGCACTTGTGAGGGGAAAACATTTCGAAGTATGCATCACTCAACTAACGAGGCGATAGTCAGCATCTTTGTCGACTGGGTGTACTCGCAGAGGCTTCCAAAGAATGATGCTGCGTGGTGCGATGAGGCGGACGAAGACATAGGCAAGTCACAACTTGCACGTACCAAAGCTCTTGTTTTTGGAGACCGAATGCTGTCTCCGGTGTTCCACAAGACGGTTCGCGACAGCTTGGTCGAACACATTATCGAATGGGCTGTGTACTACAGGGCTGTCATCTATGCCTTTCTTAATCTCCCCAAAGATCACGCGATCCTCGATCTCTTTGTGGAGGTGCATTGCCGGGAATTTCAAGATTCACTTGACACGGTTGGAAACGGTGAACTCGAGCTTCGAGCCAGTCTGCCACACGATTTCCTCATGCGCGTCATCGTTCGTTACAGTCAGATCGCCAAGTCAGTGCTACCGGAGGGCGAACTTAAGCCGTGCGATTATCACGGTCACGCGGATGAAGAGGAGAAGAAGCAGTGCCAGGCGGAGGTGGATAAGGACTGAACGAGATCTTTGAGAAGTTCGCAGAGGAGATTGGGAATAACTTCGAGGCCAGGCGCATAATATGTGTGTCATGTTCAGTACTGTGCTCGTAATTGCATACTCAGATCCAGGATAATCTACATATCCACTTGCATACAAGCAAAATATGCACCTACTCCATGCCCTTATGCAGATACAAGTGAAACTTCAAATATGGAAATGTCGAATTAGCTATAGGTCGTTGGCACGAAGCAGCTCCTCGTCGTAAGACATGCCGTTGATGCGCTTCTTGGTGAATTCGAATGCAGTAAAGAAAATGGCGTTGACTATGCAGGAACGAGACATGGAGACACCGAGGCCTTGATTGTGTCAGTAGAAGCCTTGCGAATTTGGGAAGGTGTGCTCACCTCGATACATCCGGCGACTAAAAAAATGGATCTTAGGACGCGTAGCCTTGTCTTTACCTCCGACGAGGCAATTTCGCTGGTAGATACTCTTTGCCGTGTCGATCGGGAAAATCTGCAATACCTATTAGTACATGATTCAAGACCCCATAGGAAGCGAAAGCTTACGCAGGCCCAGCTAACCAGTCCACACAGTCCACCAGCCACGACTACAGCCAGTGGATGTGTAGGTGAAGTACCGCGCGCGTTGGCTAAAACTTGTTTCACACTCTCGTATGTCACAAAGTAGATGCCGGTGCCGATGGAATCTCTTACTGTCTCCTGTTAGCGCTTGCATGTCTTTGCAGCGATCTGCGGCTCGCTCACGTAGATGCAAATGGAAGCCAGAATACAGTCCTGTCCAACCCCGATGTTTGACCAGATTTTGTGCCGTCTTCCAGGTTCCCAAGTTCTGGTAGCTCTTGCGGACCGCTTCGTTCTTGCCGCCGCCATCGTTGCGCTCGGCCATCAATACGGAAATTTGGGCGCTCAATTTCGTCAATTCGAAGGGGCCTGACTGAATTAGCTAGCGAAGCATAAACGGCAGTAGGTCTGTCGTACATGCGATTACCGTGATAGCGGCACCCGCATTGACACCTGCCAGCCCGAAGCATGCAATTGTCGAAAACGTAGGCCACGCATCTCGGGTATTTGCGATAACAAGCGGGGAGCTTCCGGTAGTCTGGTAAATCCAATTGTCGAGCGCGTACTTGGATCGTTGGTATATGGAGAAGGACACGGTGCGGACGAGGGTTATGCTTGCGAGAGGAGACCAGACACCTATGACGCGTACATTAGCGGGTGCTGGCTATGCAGCTGTGAGCGGTGAGGCATACCACGGTAGAAGCCATGGAAGCCTTCAGTCTTGTAGGTGTGGCGAACGCAGTCGGCGAAGGAGTTGAACTTGTAGCTATGTCATGTTAGCCGTGTTCTACGTGAGCCTGGGGGGCTGGCGTACGCTTGCAGGCGGGTCTTGACCGAGTCGAGAGGATACTAGAAGCTATCAGCACTGGCGAAATCGACGACGCCGTGTCTGATAGGGATGCACATACAGCCGCAAATGTAGAGAGCAGACTGCTGGAGCTTGCAGCGACCTCGGTGCGGTACTTCTTGGTCCATCGCTTGGCCTGCTCGCTGCGCAGGACGGCTCTTGAAACCTCGGTCAGATCTCTGGGTCTATTTGGAATGTCCTGTTGTACATTTGGCCTCCCCTCGTCCTGCTTAGGCATACTGGCTATCGCTAGCTGTGGAAGACGGTGCAGTCTTCCTACGGCAATCGCGATCGGGCCAGCAGCCGGGCAAGCTCCATGAAGACCGCGGCGTCGTCAAGCTGGATGGAGGGAACGTGGGTGCGCGATTGGTGTCGAGTGCGGAGGTTGGTGGTGGAGAGGAAGGTCGGGCGACAATGGCTGGTGTTGGCGAGAGTGTATAGATGCGGAGCGCGGTCATGGAATGGTGGGGTTAACCTCACGCTTTGTGCAGCTCGCATCCCCGAAACAGTCTAACGGCCACGGAAGGATGAAGCCATTGGCCGCAGGCGAACGATCGACGCAACGACCTGCACATGTACCTATCTATAATATCCCTCAACCAGCGCTCGGCAATCGATCCCCAACTTGACACCAGCACATGACTTTGCTGTTGAATCGCGCCTGCCATCACTCAACCAAATCTCGTGGCATGGCACGCGTTTGAAAGCTACCACAGCTGAATGCGGGGTTCGCTCCAGCGCTCACATGTGAAGCTTAACACATCCATGTCTATAACTCTGGCAAATCACAGTTTATCATTACGGCAGCTAGCGTTTTCGAGCGCATGTGTTTCGCTGTGAATATATATACCATGTCATGCTGTGCTACTTCGGCGCGTTCAATTGCCAAAGTTAAGCTTTCCCTGCCCGTGATCAAACAGACTGCACATAGGTGAATCAGCTCCGGGTGCGTGTGACAAGACACTACCGGCCGCGGACCGCGTTCGTAGATCGACTTAAATTCGCTGTACCCAAGCTTACCTCTCTGCTGGTGTTGGACAATGCTGAACAAACCGGTGAACGTCTTAGCCGCTAAACGTGCTCGCGTGCAGCTTCATTAGCAGCATGGTGCATTCTTGGCCTTCTCACAGCAACGAACCTGATGATAATGATTCTTCGTTTAACGATCCTTGAGGTTCGTAGACACATATATTGAGGTGTCAATGTGCCTTTCTATAGTTTTTGTTCTTGGTCATGAGATCAAGGCCTACTGAACGACCCTCGTGCGTTGCTACCATCAGGGCTTTGCCTGTTCCTTGGGAATCAGTCCTTCTTTCCCATGATCTTCCTCAATTCGGCGTCGTTATCGGACCTCTCTACTGGCGCCTTCTGGTTCTCCTCGACCTTCTGCTGTTTCTTCTTACGAATGTCTCCCATGAGAGCTTCGCTGAATGTCCCTCTGTCATCGTCCAGCCTGTCCATCTGACCATGCCGCCTCATGCTCTCCTTGTGCCAACTAATTTGCCCACCGTCTGCCTCTCGATGTTTCTTCGCATTGAGCTTCGCCGCGCGTATCGACGTCCGGGCATATACGAAGAGAAGGCCAGCCATGGTAAGGGCCGCTAAGGGTGCCATGACGGTCTGGGACGTGTTAGCCGATGTGGGGATTACAAATCTGGACAGAAGCCTCTTACACGGCCATTGATGATGCCTCCGCCTCGTGAAAGACGGGCTCGCGCATTGGCCGACGTTGGCTTGGAGGTTTCGCTCATGCCATCGGCCGCCTTCGGCATGGAAAGCCTACCACCCATGACGAGGGTAGTTGAGTTAGGTAGAAGTGGGTGTGAAGGCTTTCAGCTAAGAGTGCGACACTCGGCAATGTCGCAAGGTCCGTGGTGGAGATGGTCTGATCTCTTTGGGTGACTGTGGATGCTTCAGGAGTCAGGATTCAGGATCCGAGAAAGTTTGAACCACTCTCATAGGCTGGCATGGTTTCCTGCCAACATCTGTCGAGCTTCAGTTGACTTGACCGACGTGAAGTTGCGTGGAGTCGTGTGTCGCAGGTGGGCTGGCCTGGAAGCGATGATCCAAGTAGCTATTGGAAGCGGTCTAGCGCATGCACCTCCGGGATGTCCGCACGCGTAAGGCCGAGATCGCGTCACCGCCGGCTGCTCCCATAATCGCAAAATCTTAAATCGCAGCATTACCAAGCGACACACATCGGTCGCTGAGATAGCATTGCGTGATAGTCGCAGGCATTGTCTTGTTCGTCCCCGGTCTGGAACTTCTAGCCTGCACAGAAAGCAGCCATACCGCATACCGCATACTGCACCTGCGTGGTTGGATTACTTAAGTCGTCCAATCCAGCCTCTGAATGCAGTAGTAGCTTTGGAATCTAATTATTCTGACGTACTCCATAAGTATCCGCCGTCGGCCGCGCTGCATCTTAATGCAAAGAACAGCTACCTTTAGACTGCGAGCTCTCTCGACGAGTCTCCGTACCATTACCCCTCCATCTACAGGACAAACTTCTCTCCTCCGAACGCACTTCCGCCCTTCACAAACCGCAGTGGCATCCGCACGCTTATCAAACCTCTCGTCTCACTTCTCCACCTCAAGCATCACCATGTCGTCGCAACCCAAGGAGTGCGATTACTTAGTAATTGGAATTGGCAGCGGAGGTATTGCCTCTGGACGACGAGCCGCCAAACACGGCGCAAAAGTCATCGCGATCGAATCTTCACGATACGGAGGTACCTGCGTAAACGTCGGTTGCGTGCCGAAGAAGGTTACTTGGAACGCAGCAGCGATTGCCGAGACCTTCAAGGATGCGCCCGCATACGGTTTCAAGGTTGGCGGGGTACCAGAGTTCGACTGGCCATACTTCAAGAAGAAGCGAGACGACTACGTCAAGCGACTGAACGGCATCTACGAGAACAACCTGAACAAGGACGAGATCGAGCACTTCAGAGGGCGCGCGAAGTTTGTGGCCAAGGACGAAGTCGAGGTTGCGCTTCATGATGGAGGCTCCCAGCGCATCAAGGCGAAGCATATCCTCATCGCGACCGGTGGACGACCGAAGCTACCTGATATTCCTGGCAAGGACCTCTGCATTAGCAGCGACGGCTTCTTCGATCTCGAGAAGCAGCCCAAGAGCATTGCAACGAGTGGCGCTGGATACATCGGTGTCGAGATGACTGGCATGCTTCACGCACTCGGCTCGAAAACACACTTCTTCATCCGCGGCGACAAGCTCCTCCGAACCTTCGACCCCATGATCCAAGATACCGTAACTCAAGAGTACGAGCGTCAGGGTATCAACCTCTACAAGGGTACCCAGATTACAAAGGTTGAGGATATTGGCAACGGCATGAAGCGCGTCACCTACCAGAACAACGAGACAAAGAATGAGTCGACCGTTGAGGTCGAAGAAGTTCTCTTCGCAACTGGACGTGACCCCGAAATTGAAGATCTTAAGATCAAGGACTTCGGCATCAAGCTCAACGACAAGAACCACATCGTGACCGACGAGTACCAAAACACCTCTATCCCCAACATCTACGCCATCGGTGACGTATGTGATCGCGGTTTCGAACTCACCCCCGTCG